CCTCCAGTCAAATCATGGAATGTTTTATGATTTGACTGGAGGCACTTAATGTATTTCTCAAAAAGCCAGTTTTATGTTGGTTATAAATTGTATGCGATTGCGTCATCGCCGAAATAGCACGTATTAAATAAGCGAACAGTCTTGATTACTTGTGGTCTTTCGAAATATTATTTTGGGTTTATAGTTTGTTGAGTTGCAGATTTTCGAATACATAGAGAAGTTGAAGAACGATTGCAATGGTTGGAAAGACTGCATTGAAAAAATCATTAATGGCTGGTATGGATGCTTGTTAAAAGAAGTCGTTTCTGTGAATTGAGATGATCTTAATTTTCATGATTTTTTTTTATGTAACAACAGTGTCAAAGAAACAAATTTCAGTAATCCAGAGGAGCACTTTATGCTTCTGCAGGTGATTGAAGCATATTTGACAGTGCGCTATGCGGATAGCGATCAGGATCAGGATATTATTCGAAGATGGATGCGTGGCTGGTTGCAGCGCTTGTAAGTTCAGCATTTGTTGCCGTGTTTTCTCGGAGTGATGATCTTATTCTTCATATTACAAATTTTTATTCCAGAAGTTTACCTGGGAGTCAGCCATCATTTCTAGTGAACAAAATGGCTCAGCTCTTTGCTTTGGTTTTTGCTGCCGATTTTCCAAAGCGTTGGCCGAATTTCATGGAGGAGGCAAGTTTCTTGTACATTTCTGCTATAGGTTTAAAGTGGAAAGCATTCACCGATATTTACTGCGAAGCTTTTCTTTCTAATGTAAGTTGAAGGACTGTTGTGATTCATTGTGTTCTGTACTTAAGGTATTTTTCCAACAGATGTCATCATCACCTGAAATAACGGTCTTTTTCCTGCGCACTTTGATTGCTATCGATTGTGAGGTAGTTGATCGAGAGATTCGGCGTACGAAGCAGGTATTGCATTTTGAGGGAAGGAGATGTTTATCATTTTATTGCAAAAATTACCTGCCCGAGTAAGTGAAGTGACTTTTTCTTTGTACCAGCAAAAATACAGAATTTATTCACCATAATCACTATTATCCAAATGGGAGAGTAGTAATGCAGAACAAAAAAGCAGAGTAAATAAAAGATCTCTGTGGTATTAAAGTATAATCTGTAACGTTTTTCTGACTAAATAAACTAACGCAAACACTACCATTTTCTCATGAGCGAAATGCTCTGCGGATGACCCACTTGATACACTTTGGTTTTTCTGATCGGTTGCTAAATTAGGACTGCACTACAGAACTTCGAATGTTGTATGAATTCGTTAGAAAACATTATAATTTAAGAAGTAGACGATCGTGCTATGCTGTGAATTCGAATTCCCGGAGATATTTGTATTTTGAAAAAAGTTTACGGATGCTTTTATAAAGTTTTAGAAAAATTGCATAGAAATCTCACTCAAACCTAGTTTTTTTTTCCCCTTTTGCTTAAGAAAGTCAAGTAGAGAAGGGGAGTGTGCATAAGTGAATTTGTTTTGTTAGCAAGTGATGTTTGCTTAACAGCAACTTTCACGTTGTTTTCAGTACCGCTTGGGATACATTTTGGTTTCTTTTCTTTCTGTTTTTATTTTAATTTTTCTTTTTGCAGGTGACTGAAAGAAATATGCGAATAAAGGATGCTATGCGTGATAGCTGCAACTATAGCTTGGCACTGATCTGGACTCAAATACTAGTCAGTTTAGCTAATTCTGTTGAATTGATATGGTTCAGAATTTTTTGTTGGAACTGTTTCTGCAGTTTACTCTACAATTTACTTTGTTGTTGTTTTATTTTTTTCGACTAGAAATCCACTTTGTGTTAAAGATTAAGCAGTTATTTTTGTTGTTACTAGTAGTGTTGCTTATCAGGAGAGCAGCAGAGTTTCTCATTTTTTAAAATCTTTGAATGAAATTATTTAATTCAAAAATACCAATACCCTGATTGCATATCAATTTAAAACTTCGTTTCGTATTTTTAGGCAGAAAGCAATGATTTGAAGACTAGAAAACTTTGTTTGGATGTCATTGCTTGTTACATTGACTGGATTGATTTGGAACTTGTTGTTAACAGTACTACCATTCCATTTATTATTAGTAATTGTTTACATTTTTTGATAAGTTTTAATTATTCGTATCGTGCGTTAAATTGGATAGATTTATCACGGTGGTCTTTAGATTGTTTGAAAAATGAGCGCACTTGTGAATCAGCGGTATCAGCTATTAGTGCAGTGCTCGCAAAAGGCATGAATGCTGAAAAGAAACTTCTACTGACTGCATCGCTGTGTACTGTTTTGCATGAGAACGGGTCATTTGATTTGAAAGTAAGCATTTCTGAGCAAATTTTAGTTTCTCACACTGGCTGAAAACATGGAATCTAAGTTTTCAGGGAATAGTTTGCATTGTCTGTCCTTCGCGGATGAAATACAATAAACCATTTGCAGGAAAACGATGTCGATGATGTTTTGAGAACTGGAGCTCTCATAAGCTCATTAGGCTGCGCTTTGATCGATTGCCATACATCGTATATCTTTGATTTCCTTACCAAAGTGGTACTTCATAGCGCTTTTACTTGGTTAAATTCAGCCGGCGATTTCAATAATCTTGAGAAATTTAGTAATTTGAGGATGTCAAACTTCATTTTTGGTATAAGTTTTAAAATATTATAAATTTTTTTGTGCTCTACAGCGATACGTCATTTTTCAAGTTATCTACAATTAAAGAGTAAAATCCGTATATAGCAAGTTAAAATAGTCCAAATATGCTTTTTGCATAAAACAATTTTCAGTTTTTCAAAAGTTGGTGATATAGAAAGATCTACGCAGTGTGAAGTGCTTCTTCAGGAACAAGCTGATATCGCTTTGTTATGCTTTTCTAATGAGGTTTTTTTAAAAATTGTTTTGCATTCATTTTCACATTTCTTATAATTTCAGCTGAAATGCCTTTTATAAACAACTGCGAAGTTTCAGAATATAGATGCGTCTGGAACTGTTATCGAGTTTTTACGGCGTTATATTTGTGTTCTTAAAACTCAGGAATTTGAGAAGCGTCACGATTTCACTAATCGAATGATCTGCATAGCCATGGATAGGTTGACTTATTCGTTCCTAAATCACAAAATATAT